TATATTAATAATTGAAACAATTATAATATAGACTATACTTCACAATATAGGTTATGCAAGAAATATAAATTAGGAAGGACCTATGATATTAACATATAAGGCTTACTATTCCTTATAAACAAGACAATAAAGAATTAGGAATCTTTAAATATTAATATATATCGTAGAAGTATCAATAAAGTTATGCATCAACGTAAAAAGATTATTCTAAAGTTTAATGTTATTGTTGGTACTTACATCTATTTTACCATTAAAATCTACCATAAGTGATTAGCGGACTTGACAATGCAGTGTCTTATAGCATCACAATGCTTTGTCTAGACTCAAGTGGTCCTTTCCATCTTTTTACTTGGTGATTGAACTAGATTCCTTCCAAGCCTTTTCCATGTTTTCTTAGGACCACTCTCTTTTCTTTTTGCCAAATTGACCATGTAACTAAGGGGAACATATCCCAAAATGAAAGCTAACTCCTGCTAACCCAAGGAATCACTAATCCAATCAACTATTTTGCTTGAATCCCTAAATTTTGTACTAGCAAGTTGTTGCTCCTTGTAGACCAGTAAGGCATCATGGAGCAATTTTCGCCTAGCTTTTCCATCATTTATATGGTCATGGTTTCCATTGGATGATTCCCCTTTTAGTGAGTGTTAGAAACTGAAAAGAAGAAGAATAATTTGAAGAAAGGTTTATTGCTTTTTTGAATAATATTGTATGTACAATGACCTATATATGGGTGTTTACAAAGAGTATGTTCTAAGGTATAAAGTATATAAAGAGAATATTTTAAGGTATAAAATATTTACAATAAGTGTGTTCACATGTTAACATTTCCTCTCAAACTCAAGGTGGTTGTGTTGAAACCAACTTGAGTTTGAAAAGAAGAGTATGAAAGCATCTAGGAAAATGAGCCTTTGTAAAAAGATCTGCTGGTTGATCAACAAAGCCAATGAAAACTAAATGAACAGTTTCTTAGGCAACATGATGGCGAACAAAGTGACAATCAACCTCAATGTGTTTAGTGCATTCATGGAAAACATCATTATATGCAATATGTATAGCACTTTGATTGTCATAATATAGATTAGTAGCAGGCGGTTGAGGAACACCCATATCTTCCAGCAGCCGACATAAGTTAAGTAACTCTGATGTGGTGTCTTTAAGTACTCGATATTCGGCTTGTGTGCTAGAATGTGATGGAACTGTCTACTTCTTGCTATGCCAAGAGATTAAGGAATTACTAAGAAAGAGACAATATCCAGTGGTGGATTTACAATCATTAAAGTCTCCATCCCAATCAATGTTTGAGTAAGCATGAAGTTCAAGAGATGAGTGAGCAGAAAAGTGAAGTCCATGAAACAATGTTCCTTTAACATAGCGAATAATATGAAGTACTGCTGCATAATGAGTGGAGCGAGGAGCAGCCATAAACTGACTAACAATATGAACTGCATATGCTA